GAGTTCAGCCCCAGGCTAGGCTCAATGATGGCTCTGAGCCTGAGCCTGTCTCCTCTGTGTCTCCCTCTCTCTCGCCCCTCCCCGCCATGCTCTGTCTCTCTCTCTGTCCAAAATAAATAAACATTGAAAAAAAATTTAAAAAAAAATAAAAAAAAAATAAATGAAGTAAAAAACAAGTTTTTCTTTCTGTATCTAAGAAAGAGAAAGAAAACAAAGAAAAAAAGAACATTTTAAGCAAAAACTGAAGCAAAGAAAATGAACACATAAAGGAACCAGCAAAAGAATGAAACCTGAATGAAGTTACATCCAGTGTCCCTTAGAACTGAAACTACGAAGGATTCTATAGTCCATACACTAAGCTTGTTGGAGTGATTTATGTTGGTCTTCTGGTGCCTGTGCTTGGAGGGTGCAGATGGGTGGAGCTTGATGTAATTGCTCCATTCTCCACTAGGTGGCTCTGCTTAGCCTACTGGGGTGGATCCATGTGCCTGTGTGCTGTGTGTGCACAGGGGAGGTGGAAATGGCTTCACCCAGCTCCCTAGTATCTAGCACAGGAACTTTGAGTTCTCACTGACCCGCGATCAAGCCCCTCCTTTGTCAGCCCTCTGTCTACTCCCTGTCTCTACCCTGTCCATGTTCAAGCTGTCCACTGCCAGGTGGCACCTCCCTCTAGAGTTTTATCTTAGATGGGGTTTTATTTCAGAATTCCATGCTTCAGAGTCCTCGGTGGCTTGGACCTAAGCTGACTCTCTGGGGAGGGTCTTACTGAGTGATGGCCGAGTGCCACCCTACGCCAGAAAAACGTTCATGCAATCACCGCGGCAGTGATTCAGAGATTATGGCAAATCACAACACCCAGCCAGTGCCAGGTTTCATGGCACTCTGGCGTTTGAGTCCCTATACCAGCATATGTGCTGCTCTCCAGGGTCCACTGGGACCTTTGCCCCAGGGGAGGCCATATGGCCTCTACCAAATACACTCCAAGCAGGGCAACCACTTCTCCCTGTGTAGCACACAGACCCCTCAGACCCTGCAGCCTGCTCTTGGGGATTCGCCCTACTTCCTCACCAGAGCACTGTCAGGCACTGAGCTCGGGAACTTCAGAGTCTATGCTCCACTGTTTATAGAATCCTGGTGGTATTGAATCCTCTTCTTTCTCCCTGGCAGTGGTTTTGGGGAACAGGTTTCTTGTTCAGTCCCCTGCGAGGGTTTTTACTCTTTCTCCCTTTCTCTCTTTCTCTCCAGCTACTTTGGTGGGGAGTGCTTTTCTTGTACGATCCCGATGCACTGCTTTCTCTGCCTTTCTCTTTCTCTCTCTGCCAAAATAGCTCACCACCCTCCACGGCTTCTTTGTCTCCCTAGGTTCACCTGCCTGCAGTGCGTATGTGCCAAGTTCTGCGGCTCAAGTTACGAAGATTGTTGCGTTAATCCTCAGATCAATTTCCTAGGTGTTCAAAATGATTTGGTGCTGAGGTAGCTGCATTTTAGGGAGGAGACAAGCTCAGGTTTCCATGCTGCTCCGCCATCTTGATTCCTCCCCAGTGCTTCTAGTAATTATTCTGTGAAATAACTTTTTGATGGTTCTCATTAGGATTGATGAAAAGGTACTTTTAAAATCTGTTGATATATTTTTTAAGTATGTACTTGGTAATATAAACTGCCTGCTACCTCTGGATCTTTTAAATAGTTGAGATTTAACCAGGCTTAATTAAAATAATACTGTGGAAGCCACAAGAATCCACTTTGAAGAAGCCAGCCTTCAAGATGGTGTGGCCTCCTTCTCTTGTGCCTATACCTGCCCTAAGACATATTTACTTGTGTTTCTCCTATGTGGTAGGCAGTAACAAGGATGAATGAGATGAAGAAGAGTCGTGATCAGCACCATAACATTTGGCAGTTATGTTGTTCTGAACCTTACTATGACGATTTAAGTGATTTGATAGTTGGTGATCATTGATGTGAGACATGTTACTAGGAGAAGCCTTAGAAAAATTCACCATCATTGGTATGACCAGGAATCTCTGACTTTTTAGGCCAAGTACTCCTCTGGTTTTTATCTGAAGAGCCTAGGGTGGTGCTGTCCAGTAGAACTATAATGTGAGTCTCATTTGTAATTCGAAGTGTTCTAGTAGCCACATTAAAAAAAGTAGAATCAGGCGAGTTTAATTTTAATAATATATTGCATTCTATCCCAAATATTATTGTTTTAACATATAATAAATGTAAACTTATTAATAAAATATTTTATATTTTTTGTATGAAATCTCAGAAATCCAGTATGTATTTTATGCACGTAGCATGTCTTGATTTGTACTCTCGTCCCATTTCCAGTGCTCAGTACAGGCATGTGGCCAGTGCCCACTGATTAGACAGCATAGCCCTAGGTGTTAGGATGTGATAGTTGAAATATTACTTCAACATTACTCAACTTCCTTTCTACTTCAAAGTACCCTGACTCCTTCCTTTAACTTGAGAGAAATAAGTGGCCTTGGGGGCGCTTTCTGCCTGCCTGTTCAGTGTGGCCCTCACTGGAGGGAGAAGAGGTGCCTGCCTGCTCATTGAGACCAGAGGGTCTGACAATTTTGTTAAGTGATGTGGACAGCTGAGCAAATGGGGGGACAATAATTAAGAGAAACACATTATGATGAGCCTCTCAAATGAGAGAAAATGGGCCCATGAAAATGAGAATTTGTTTTCCCTTATTACAGATACAGTCTACTCTGTAGGAATAAAGCTAAGTACAGAAAACACTTGTTAGAGCAGTGGTTCTCAAATGGGTATGATTTTGTCCCCAGGGAATTTGTTAATTTCTGGACATAGTTTTTGATGGTCACAACTGGCGGTGGGTGTGGATGTTACTGACATTAATGTCTTGAGGCCAGGGATGCTTATAACATTCTACAGTGTACAAAACAGTCCCCACTACAGTGAATTAATTACTTGGCCCAAGGGTCTGTAGTGAGGAGCACAGGTAGAAGATTCTCTAGTTCTGTTCTTTTCATTAATTGTTAAATAGTTTCTATAGGGAATATAACATGTTTTCTTTTAAATTTGGAGACTCTCCTCATTTTTTCGTGTAAAATTTCTAAGCGTTTCTGATTGAGCACATTGGTCAGCTCAGTAGTTTCTGCTCACAGCCCTGAAGAATGAATGAATGGTTCTTGTGAGACCATTCATCTTGCTCACCTCCCCTTCCCTCTGGTGCAGCCCTCTCCTGCCTCCCCTTCTTCCAGCCTCTCTCTTGTGCATTGCCATTCTACTTTCAGTAAGAACATGTATGTTAAAAAGGAAAGGAGCATTTGCAAGGCTGCCAGAAAGATTAGTACACTTCCATAAGGTCTGTTAGATGTATTTTTGGATGTATTCTGGCAGTGATGTGGGTGTTTGGTTGTGATTATCCCCTTCCAGGGCTCCATCTTGAGCAGTGGTTAACTCAGGATGTGATCACCACCCTGTTCCTAACGTTTGTCACCCAGGGAGCTGTAACTTTGAGTCTCCATAAATTGTGGCAAATAGCAATCAATACAGGTCGTTTTCAGCTCATAAGCGTTCCTTAGTCACTCTGCCAAAGATACTCAACTTGCCAGTGCTTGCCTTTCAGGTTACCTGTGCGGCACAGTCCCCACCCCTTCCTCGTGACTGCTGGGTTTCTGCTGCCTTCCACCCTACCCCCCTTTGTTGCTTGTGGCACTTTGAGTTTTGGTGGCAAACCACATAAGTGACCTTTAGCCAATTTAGGCTAAGAGCAATACAGTAAATGCTCTTTGGGGGCTGTCAGATTGGGAAGAATTTAGAGGTCTGGCTTAGAGAGGGGCCGGGGTCATTTGGCACTGCTGGCCCTGCCTCTGCTGGCAACTGCAGATGAGCTTGCTGCCCGTGACAGCCGGCCTGAAGGTTCCAGGCCTGTAGAGTCAGCTTCAGCCGTCTGTGCCCTGAGCGGTACGACAGTGAAGAAAGCGGATCAGAACCAGCCTTCCCTTGTGTAGGGAGGAGCAGTCTCAAAAGGTGCTTTTTGAAGGGGGGCACGACTACTGGCAGTCCAAAAAGAAGAGCAGTTGTGCACACATCAGTGCTTATGGGGTTCCCCTTGCTCCCCAGACTAGAGACCCCCTCCTTACCCTGTGAACCTCTCTGGAGAACACCTCTGTCAGCCCGATTTCCCTTGCCTGTTCGTGCACTCTGTGTGCTGGCTCAGGAAGAGTTTCTCCTCGAGTTTCTCTAGATACCTGAAAGAAGGCTCTCATCTGTAATCTCTCAAGCTTAGAAACATTTTTTTTATATTGTGGGTTTTCTTATCTTTTATAAAAGAGCAGACTAACCATTATTTAGCCTTTTTGTGACATTTGGAAATTAGCATTTTGCAAACCTTGGAAACCTTGCATTAATGTATGTGCTGCTTTTGTATTTGACTGACAGTGGGTGTTTTCATTGTTTAATTTCCAGTTTGGGGTAGTATTCTTGATAAGCAAGGGAGATAGATGGCTGAATTCCTTAATGAAAATAACTGTACATCAGTTAATAGCATGTATTAGCTTTTACGAGTTATCCCGGAAACCTAACCACATTGTACTGTTTCTATGGGAAAAGGAATTCTGATTTTAAACAATGGAAAATAAGTCCTTTTATAAGCTCAGAGCTGCTTTCATCTGTCTTTTTATAATCTCTGTGGGATGTGTTCTAACTTAATAAGGCTATATAGCATGGGTGGGGGGGGGTTCTCTTTCTGTTTCCCCTTTATTTCATAATATTGTCAGGACTTAGAAAATTTTGAAGCTCTGAGTGAAAATGTGCCTGTAAAGTGTAATTTTTTTTTTTTTCCCTCTGGACCTGTATGTTGAAACCTTACTTGAATTTAGCTAAAATGGACGCGGTGCATTAACCAGCATTTCTAGCTAGTGTGTGACAGGTTTATTTTTTTCTTGTGTTAAGAAACTCTCATGTGTGTCCATAATGCAAGATTGGCTTCTGAGTAAATAGGAATTCTCCTTCTCCCGTTTCAGGCCGGAGCCTCAGCAGAAAGCTCCCTTAGTTCCGCCACCGCCGCCTCCACCACCGCCACCGCCTCTGCCAGACCCCACGCCCCCGGAGCCAGAGGAGGAGATCCTGGGATCAGATGATGAAGAGCAGGAGGACCCCGCCGACTACTGCAAAGGTGATCGTGCCTGCTTGTCACTGATGCAGACAGTGTGGTCTATGTTAAATTCACCTCTTGGTGTCAACACCTTTTTTTTTTTTTTTTTTTTTTTTTTTAATGTTTATTTATTTGAGAGAGGGAGAGCGTGAGCGGGGGAGGGGCAGAGAGAGAATTCCAAGCAGGCTCCGTGCTGTCAGTGTGGAGCCCGACCTGGGGCTCAGTCACATGAACTGTGAGATCGTGACCTGGTCCAAAGCCAAGAGTTAGATGTGTAACCAACCCAGGCGCCCCTCATTTTTAATTTCTAGATCATTAAGTATAGAGTGGTACCAGAAAAGGTAAGAGATAGCAGAAGGAAAACTGTAAGAGATATACAGTATATACATATGTACATACATACTTTCAAGAGGATTTTAATCTAATAGAATTAAAGATACTGTAAGTAGGACAGTTAAGGATAAAAACAGCAGCAGCTCAGCTATCTAAGAAGAGCATAGACTAGAAGGTACCAGGCTCCTGAGGGGAGCCAGTGTAACGGTTGTGCAAGGCAATTGACTTTAAGTTTTCAGACTAAGAGTAACAAGGAACCAGTCCTTTTCTCTGTATAACATTGAATTACATAGTATTCATTGTCTGTGGAAAGAAGGCCTGCTCATTTGTTTACAGAGACAGACTTTTTCCTGGCATTGTACTCAGTGAAAAAGACATTCTGTGGGCTTTGTCATTGTGTGACACAGTGGATTGTGTTTTTAGCTGTGATTTCACAGAAGACATAGAAATTACTCAGGTGAAGTGTTCTTGTATTGCTTTGTAAAGATCAAGAGCATATAGTTAAACTCCTAAAAGGCAAGCATGTTGTGTGATGAATATTGAGGACAGTGTGATCCAGACTGTATGCTTTGTGTAGACTGGACTCTGAGAATGTAGGAGAAAGGGAGGTTGATGTGTCCATTTGACCACCTCTTTGTTACTTAATTTACTCATTTGGACTTTCATATTCTCTCTCTCTCTTTTTTGGACTTTCATTCTCTTTAGTAGATTATCACAGTCTGGAATTCTGAGCTTCTGAACAATTGATGAGACACTGACTTGCTACTCATTAAGTTCAATGTAATCAGATTCCCTTTTTTTTTTTTTT